CCCCGCCCTTCCTTCCCCCTCCCCAGACACTCTCCCCACCATTGTCTGTGTCCTTGGGTTGTGCATATATGCATATAAATTCTTTGATAACAATTTTAAAAGAACCTGATGTCCTTTACCTGTAATGCTTGTTTCAGTTGTTCCTGAAGAACTTTATTCTCAGTTTCCAGAGCATGTGCTGTTTTCTAAGATGCAATATAAGGGGGGCAGGGAGAGTGGTATTCATTTTGGTACTTTTGTTTTTATTAATTTGTTGTTATATATAGTTATTACCATATATAGAGCCAAGATGATGATTCTAACATACACATTTACTACACACTTCTCAGACATAATGGTGGATAATTTCTGTAGCTATAACTTCTTATTGATTTTCCATATGCAATTTGACTTTGAATCTGGTAAATTATAACTACAGTAAATTAAACATTTCTTTTATTCTTTTCTTTAGGCCTAAAATATTTAAATATAAACATTTCAAATTTTATAAAAAGAACAACTTTGTTTTTAATGCAAAATAAGCATAGTTCTGACTTTGTGAGAAGGAGCGGATTTATTACACATGAAATAGCTCAAGAATTCTTGAGCAGATGGATGACAGATTGAAGAACCATATCTAAAGTCCCCAGTTCTGCTCTGGGATAGCAGAGCAAATTCCTATTGGACAAGCCCTGTCAGGGACAGCCACCATAAACTATGAACAAAATACAAATATCAACATTTGAAAGCAACCAAGAGTAGTTAGATTCTTGAGAGAAGGTAACCAAGAGTAGTAAGATTCTTGGTTTTTGACTCCTAGTCTGAGGGCAGCCCTACCTGAGCCAGACAAAGCACCTAATAACCAATAGAAAGCCTGAGTTTTAGACTTTACAAACCCGAGGACAAAGTTCAGGGCAATCACAACCACTGGAAATGTTAGGGGAAAGTCACACAAAGAAGGGAGCCATAACCAAAGAACTTATATACATATATTCATAACCCAAGGACAGAACAATAGTTTGGAGAGGGACTGGGGTGGGGTGGAATGGGTCTAAGCGGGGAGAAAAAGGGACATCTGTAATATTTTGAACAAACAAAAAAAATTTAAATTTAAAAAAATTAAAAATAAAGAAAAAAATTTAAAAAAATATTTAATAACGGTTCAAATTTAAAGCAGAAATTACAAAAACATATAGATGGTTCAAGACAGAATTCCAGCCTGCAAAAATATTCTCAAGGAAGGAAAATATTTTAATGCAAAGATCAAAGCCATGTTATGGACAATAAAATGGAGCTTCAGGATCAAAATTAACTCAAAGTTGTGGTTATAAGACTCCTTGTTAAACCCTCAAAGAGATTTAAATATTCATGGACCCTCCTTATTAGACAAAAATTATTTTGATGGTATTGTCCTGACATATCTTAAGTAAAAAGAAATCTATCTCAGAATTATGGGCTTTTGAGTAAAAGAATGAAGCACAATAACATACATGGAAAACAAAGTTTTTAAGAGAAACACTATCACATTAGACTAAAAAGGACAGAAACATTTCAAAAATACATTTGTCTTTTCTTATATTCACATGATTAAGCTGCTAATCACCCACTTAGATACTTGAATGAAATAACTGTGCTCTATTTGTCTAACGAATAATCTGAAAATCAAAATTTAATAGAATAAAAGAAAATTGATATAATTTTATCGAAGTATGATTTTGTTAAGTACAACTCTGGCTATTGCTACCCAGCAGGGGTGGGGAACTTCTGGCCCTCAGGTCATATAAGGCACATGACATCATTTGGTCTGGACCTGCCAAGGCCTCACCAAAGAGAAGCAGTTCCAGCCATCACATTAGGGGTGAGTTAATTAAAGGTTTGGCCAAATATAGCAGGCTAATTTTTAAGTTGATATTTTTGTATGTCCCTCGAATGATGTTATAAGTGTCCAAATGGCCCTTGGCAGAATAAAAGGTTCCCTACCCCTGTGGTATCTTTGATGAATTAGAAAAAGGAGCCTCTTTCAAGCAAATGTAGCCTTGTGCCAGGGTATGCAGTTGGCAAATAAACCATGCATTGAATTTCAACACCCACTTTTGCCTTAGCCCCTCCCTTGTTAAAGGTACAATTTGTACAACATAAAGACAGCCTTGGGTCCAAATGGATTATTTTATCTACATACTCTAAATGTTAGAGGTAAACAACAACAACAACAACAAAAACTAGTTCATTTAAAAACTAAAATACAGTTTTATATGTCTTATTAAGCACTTTATAAGCATTAAATTACTTGGGCAGATAGATAATAATACCAACTGATTCTATTATTCATGTCTGTTTGAGAAAGCAAAACAATATATTTTCACAAATTGCAAATTCTGAGCAGGACTCAGAGAGCTATGTTTGCAGTTCAGATTTCACTACCAATTTGTTCTCTAACACTAAGCAAGTCCCTTTTTAACTTTTATTGATCTTTGTAAAATGGCCTAGAGTAAAACGGCCTATAAAAGAGTTTTGGAGGAGGGAGAAATTCCCTTAAAATTCTCACTAAATCCATAAATCTTCCCACTAAAAAATTATACCTATATAAAGAATTTTTACTTTAACTTCATTAAAAATAATTTAAAATGAAACTCATTAACTGTTACAGACTGAATATTTGTGTCCCCTCACAAAAAGCTATTCATAAATTTAAACCTAATCCCTAATGTGATGGTATATGAGGATGAAGCCTTTGGGTGATGATTAGGACATAAGGGTAGAGCCTTCATTAATGGGATTAGCACCCTTATAAAAGAGACTCTGGAGAGCTCCCTTGCCCTTTCTGCCATGTGAAGATGGTGCCTTGATCTTGGATTTGTCAGCCACTAGAAATGTGAGAAATAAATGTTTGTTATTTAAGCCACTCAGTCTATGGTATTTTCTTATCTAGTATTGTGTCCTAAAAGAAATTCTTTTCTTTTTTTTTTTAATATATCTTTATTGATTTCAGAGAGAGGAGGGGAGAGGGAGAGAAAGATAGAAACATCAATGATGAGAGAGTCATTGATCAAGCCCATAACCTGGGCATGTGCCCTGACCAGGAATCGAACCCCGATAGCCTGGATCCTAGGTCGACGCTCAACTGCTGAGCCACGCCCGGCCGGGCCTAAAAGAAATTCTTATGTTGAATTCCTAATGCCTAGTGTGATGGTATTATGAGGTGGGGCCTTTGAGACGTAATTAGTTCATGATAGCAGAGCCCTCATGAATGAGATTAATGCCCTTATAAAAGAAGCCTGAGAGAGTTCCCCTGCCTTTTCTGTCAAGTGGGAATACAATAAGAAGTCTGCAACCGAGAAGAGGCCCTTATTCCACCTTGCTGGCACCCTGATCTCAAACTTGCAGCCCCCAGAACTGTTAGAAATAAATTTCTGTTGTTTATAAACTAACCAGTCCCTGATATTTTGTTAGAACAGTATGAATGGACAAAGACACAGCCCAAATTAAAAACAAAAACACTAGCTTAATGACTTCTGATATTAATAATATGGGATTATAATAAATTTTTAAATATACACAATACTGAAAATGCTGTCCTGTATAAATAAACTCATAAGTATCGATAGGATACTAAGATGGCCTCTACAATCCCCATCCCTGGTGTTATGCTCTGTATAATCCACTCCTTTTTACTGTTACCTAGGACTTGCTTCTAGCCAATAGAATATTGCAAAGTGGTGTGATGCAACTCCCTCTATTCGATTGCATTATATTGCTAAAATGGCAAGATGTCACTCCCATGACTGTGTTACATAAAACTCTGTCTTGGCAAACAGGAAAGACTCTTGGCTGGCCTGAAGAAAAAAGCTGCTATGATGTAAACTGCCTATGGAGATGGCCACATGGCTGAGTGTCTCAGTCCTACAACTGCAAGAAACTGAAATTTGCCACATCCATTTAAACTGGGAAGAGGACCCCAGGTTACAGAACAGAATAGAGTCTAGTCGATACCTTGATTGCAGCTTGGTGAGTCATTGAACGTAGGCCACAGCTAAGTCATGCTCAGACTCCTAACCCTTTCAAACTGAGGGACAATATAAGTTGTTTTAAGTTGCAAAATTTGTGGTAACCTGTTATGCAGGAATAGAAAACTAATACCATAAAGTTCTACATTGAATATCTCAAGCAGTGCTCTCATTTTCTTCCCAAATTTATGTTATCTCATTCCTGAGTCATTCAGGTTCATACTGTGGGACAGTTAACTCTAGGCACTCACTAAAATGGGTGATGTGATGCTCTGATGGTTATTAAGAAGTTAAACTGTAGCAAAAGAAAATAAGTGAAGATGAAATAAAAGATTACTTGTACTCCTTTTATAGATCACATAAAAATGTGTGGGCTACATAATTTACAATTTCTGAAGAACTTTTCTTATTTCCTTCTTACCTCTTATATATCTTTTTGAGAAAAGGCAGTGATTGTTTTATCCACCCTACTAATGGAAAATATGAAGTTTAAGTAGATGAAAGGGATTTGTCCAACAGTGTGGTGATTGTAGGAGGTAGGAATGGGGGAGGTGGAAGTGGGTATAGGGGGGATAAACAGTGATGGAAAAAAATAAAGAAAAAAACAGATGCATGATATACCTTTGTAAGAACAAACCATTATTTAGCTGGTTCCCTATTGATGAATATTTGCTTAGATCCAGAAAAAAAGGAGACTTGTCCAATGTCACATAATTAGTAAGTCCCTGTTGACTCCCAGTATAATGTTCTTTCCTCCATGTTATTGCCTGTGGTTGAGTAAATCATCATTTTCATAACCTTGATAAGAAACATGCCTAGATTTACCATTTGATTTTCTGAAACTTACTGAGAAGAGTCAACCAACAAGAAAGAAATATCTTAGGAAAAACTTTAGTACACACATATACAGAGATACACATACACACACACATACACTCACCTACATTCACATACATACTAATGTTGTCTATACATATAATTATCAGAGCACTTATTAATCAAACTTAGAGGCATAGAGAGAGTTTTACCTGGGCTTTAAGGAAATCTTCCATTTTAAGCTCTTTGACTGAAGACTTTTTCCTGTAATTAAAAATGTTTTCAAATATATCATGATATTTTTTAATTGCATGACTACTTTGCTTTTTTGGGGAGTACTTAAACCCTTTGTAAAACTAAAAATTTTCAAAAGACATTTATATTTTTAAAAGCCTTAAAATAGGTTATATGATAAATAATTGAATAACATTTCTCAAACTAACTTCTCATTGGTATGATTAAAATATGGAAAAATGAGATGGGGCAAGGATTTTCAAAGTACACTGGTCCATTTTTTCTTCCTTGGTCATCTTTTCTTTGCTAAGTCAAAGATCAAGGCCATTTGCCCAATAAATTTATTTTTAGAATCTATGGAGCTGTGTAAACATGGAATTCATAATTTCTTTTTAAACTTTATATTTATATTACAGTTTGACCAATCCAATTCAAAACGCAAAAGTTATTTTATATTACTAAAGAAGATATTCATTTAATAAGACCAGTTAACAAAATCCACATACATTTTAATAATAGATAATTGTTTTTATAAAATAAGTACAATGAAGAAGTTCAGTAAAGCCCTAGCTAGGTGGCTCAGTTGGTTGGAGCATTGTCCTGTACACCAAAAGGTTTGGGGTTTGATTGCTGGTCAGGGCACATACCTAGGTTGCAGGTTCGATCCTCAGTCAGGATGTATATGGGAGGCTGCTGACTGATGTTTCTCTCTCACATTGATGTTTCTTTTTCTCTCTCTCCCCTTCCTCCCTTCCTTTCTCTCTAAATTCAATTAAAAAATAAATAAAAATAAAGGTATCCTCCAGTGAGGATTTCAAAAAAAAGTTCAGTAAAAAAAAGCATAGCCCAGACTAGGGAGTTATTAGCTAGACCATCAAGGACACAATGTAAATTCATTTCCTTAAAATTATTTACAATTTAATTCTGTTTGCCTGTTCCTAAATATCTTGTGGTTCATTCTCCTCCTCTTTAATTCATACTTCCCTTCTCAGCTTTCTCCAACAATCATATCCTTGTTTGCTTATAAAACTATATACAACTATGTGTCACTAATGATAAGGATACATTCTGAAAAATCCATTTTTAGGTAATTCCCTCACTGTATGAACATCAGAGTGCACTAACATAATCCTAGATGGTATAGCCAACTACATACCTAGGCTATATGGTATAACCTATTGCTACTGGGCTACAAACCTGTACAACATGTTACTGTACTGAACAATGTACTTAACAGTTGTAACACAACGGTACTTGTGCACCTAAATATATCTAAATATAGAAACGATACAGTAAAAGTATAGTATAAAAGATTAAAAATGGTACACTTGTGTAGGGCACATCATAAATGGAGCTTGGAAAACTGGAAGTTGCTCTGGATGGGTCAGTGAGTGAGTGAACATGAGGCCTAAAGCATTACTGTACAATACTGTAGACTTTATAAACACTACACTTATGCTACATGAAATTCATAAATAACGTGAGATTAAATCAAGCACAAGAGAAAATTATGCAATTAAGAGACATGGTAACATTATCAATATGTATGATTTTGTTGCCAGCATAACATGGCATACTGTTTTACAGTAAACATTTTTTATAAATAGAGTACACTTTGAAATAACAATAAAAATATAGGTTAGTAAATACATAAACCAGAACATATTTATTATCATTATCAAGTATGATGTACTGTACATAATTGTATGTGCTATACTTTCATACGATTGGCAGTGCAGTAGGTTTGTTACACCAGCATCATCACAAACACATAGATAATGTGATATACTATGACATTACAACGTCTACAATGTCACCAGGTGACAGGAATTTTTCAGCTTCATTAAAATCTTATGAGACCACTGTTGTATATGTGGTCTGTTGTTGATCAATATGTTGTAACATGGTTCATGACTATATTTGCTAATGTTACTTTTTTAATAAACCTACTAATAAGTTATATTTATATTACCTCAAATTGCTTGTATAAATTAAAAATATAAGTTAACAAGGAAAGAAAATACTAGCATGTATCTTTATGTCTTACGCTTCTGAATCCTCAGACTTCTCTTTGGCTTTTTTCTTCTCCATTTTCACAGTTTTCTTTGTTCCATCATATGTAGGCTTTGTTGTCTGTAATTTTATATAAGCCAGAAAATGTTAATGAGACAATAAATTATAGGGAAATATATGATAATATACATTGCTAAGATTCCCATTTTATTTTTAAAAGCATTATACTATTTTTCAAGGAAAATTATCTAAATAGAAGCAAAATATTGATACATTCAGAATGTTTATTACAGTGTTTTACAGAATGTAAGTCATATATAAGTTAATGCATATTAAAATAATTAAATTCCCCTGATAAATTATAGTCAATTCTACAATATGACATATACCTTCATGAAAACTTCCTCACTATGAAAAATCATGCAATACAAACTGCAGGATATATGAGGAAAGTGGTATTAGGTACACAGCACCCAAAAAAGTTGTCAGTGATACATTTTTAAAAATAGCAACCTAATAAAAACATTAGTATAGTTTTATACAGTTAAATAATTAAGAAACAAGTACTGTGAAAAATATAGCTCTTTATCTTAAAAAAGACATGAAGCTTATTTGTGGAAGTGACCACTGAATAGGTTGCAAGTTGTAAATTATTGTGCAGTGTTGGAAGGTTGGTTATCTGAAACTGAATAAAAAGTTTTAACATCAGTGAACTGATGTGGTATACTACATACATGGTGAACTAAGGTACCTTGTAGACACTCTTTTCTGCCTTCACCTATATTTTTGGGAGATAAAATTGTGCATAAGCAAATGTAAAATTCACATTATGTTCAAATTGCTCAACTGTGTTAAAACAAATTTGCATTTCAAAACAAATATTATGGGACTACTGACTACATGTTTTAAAGTACTCCTGAACTACTACATAGTACCAGATTATTTTATTAAAAACAGTAGAGAGAAAAAATTAACAATTAGATTATTGAAATTTTTAGATATGCTTAATAATAGAAACCTATTAAAGTATTAGGTGGTTATTTCCTATTTCAGACCACAACTTCCAACAGATACCAAATTCACAACAGTGGAAAAGTTCTCACAAGTTAAAAACAAAGTGTAACAATTTCTCATAAAATATGGAAAATAAACATGATGATGAATTCTTAATGAGAATTGTTAAGGCCCCCAAATAATATTTTCTAGTTTAAATATGAGTCTTTGGATATACTTAGTATTCAGAAAAGTCTAATATATATTGGCAATCAAAAATACTAAAATAATAGAAGGGAAAAAAACTAAAAAATAGTGAACAAATCATGAGTGAGCTGTGGGACAATTTCAAGTGGACTAATGTTCTTATAATTGTAGTTCATGATGGAGAGAAGGGGTAAGGGAAAAATTAGTACTTAAAGAAATGATGGATAATTTTTTTCATAGTTGAGGAAAGCTATATATGCACAAAGCCACATCAATATGAGAAAAACTACCCCAAGACATCATAATAAAATTATTTAAAAGCAGCAATAAAATCTTAAAAGAATACAAAGGAGAAAAGCAGATTACATGCAAGAATAAGGAGGAAATATCTTAGAAACAATGCAAGCAAAGGAGCAACATCTTTAAAGTACTGGAAGAAAAAAAGTCACCCTGGAATTTGTTATCCAGAAGAAATATCTTTCAAAACTGAAGGCATAAAATAATTTTCCTTTAGAAACCAAAGAGTTGAAAGTATACATCACTAGCAAAGCTGCACAACAAAATGATAAATGAATCCTTCAAGCAGAAGAAAAATGGTATCAGACATAAATAAGAAATACACAAATTAAAGATGGGCACCAGAAATCATAATTGCATGAGTAAATATAAAGATTGTTTTTCTTATTATTTAAATATCTTTAAAAGGTGATCGTTTACAGCAAAACTAATAACAATGTGTTGTGCAGTTTATATTATATATAGTAAACCATGTGTGAAAACAATAGCACAAAGGCTGGAAAGGGACAAATGAAAGTACATTATTTTAAGATTCATGTACGAGAAGTGATTTAATGTCACTTGAATATAGACTACATTCATTAAAAACAAGACTGTAAACCCTAAAGTAACCAGTAAAGCAACCAACTGAGCAGCAAATGTAAAGTAACACAGATTCTGCTACCTGGAAGTGGGGTGCTGTTATAATATACAACTAACCATTTTGGAAGTAGATTTGGAATTGAGCAGTGAATAAAGGCTGGAAGAATTTTGTGGAACATAAAAAAAATATTTAACAAATTATGTAAAGAAGACAAACCCCTTAATCTGATAGACAGAAGGGATAGAGGGACAGAGGGAGGGAGAGGAGAAGGGAGGGGTAGATGGAAGGAGAGAGATAAATTCCCTTTAAAGTCAGGAACAAATGAAAAGTGCCTGCTGTCATAATCTATTCAACACTATTGTAGCCAGTGCAGCAACACAATGCAAGAAAAAGAAATAGAAAGTATTAAAAGTTAGAAAGGAAGAAAATTTTGACTATCATTATTCATAGTTTTGCAAGTAAGAAATAAAAATTTAATCATGACTGTAGCTAGGTTTATGGATGCAAATTCAACATACAAAAAAATGTATTGTACTTCTCTATCAAGTTAAAAATATCTATTAAAAGACAGCAATTATAGTAGTATGAAAATATGAAGCACTTAAGATTAAAAACGGATGAAAGCTTTAAAAAGAAAATCATAAATATTTATCATTAAACATTAAAGAAAACCTTCAAAATTGGAAACATTTAATAACGAAAAGATGTGTCTTGATATCCTAGACGTAAATCTCTCCAATTTGATGTACAGATTCAGTACAATGATAGAATTTGACATTTTAACTCTAAAATTTATATAAAAGTGCAAAGATCAAAAAGAAATAACTTCTTTTTTAATTAAATTTATTGGGTTGACATTAGTGAATAAAATTGTGTAGGTTTCAAGTGTATAATTCTATGATACCACCACCCAAAGTCAGATCTTTTTCTTTCACCATATATTTGACCCCCTTTACCCTTTAACTGATAGTTACCATCCATATGGTGGTTCTCACTGGTACCCACCATAATGTTGCCTGTGTTTATGAGTTTTTGTTTGCTTATTTTTGTTTGTTCATTTGTTGTTTTCAGTTATATATCCCATATATGAGTGATTATATGGTTCTTAACTTTTTCTGTGACTTATTTCACTTAGCATAATATTCTCAAGGTTCATCCATGTTGTCACAAATGGCAATATTTCATCTTTTCTTATGGTTGAGTAGTATTCCATTGTATACACATATAATAAATTCTTGTTATTAAAAAACAAAGTGGATTGACTTCCTATAAAAATATCAGGACTTATTCTAAATTTTTAATCATGAGGGATCTCAGACATTGGTGTAGGAATAGACAAGGACAAATGGAACAAAACAGAAGGAGCAAAAGAAATCTTTAAGCAATAGTGTTTTCCAGCAACAGCGAGCCAAAACATATGCTTGTAGGGGATTCAGTTAGGAAGCTAGAGTAGAAAGCCAGGTGATAGCAGAAATGGAGTAAATAAGGAATCAGCAAATTATAGACCTGCCCTGCTGCCTGTTTTTGTAAACAAATTTTTATTGCAACACAGTCCTGCTCATTCATTTATGTATTGTCTAGGGCTATTTTCATACCACAGAAACAGATCTGAGTTATAGCAACAGAGATGGTGTGGCCTGCAAAATCTAAAATATTTATCTAGTCCTTTAGAGTAAAAGTTTGTTGATACTTGGATTGAGAGATAAGATAGTAATTAGGGAAACTTAACCAAGTACAGTAAACACCAGGTATTTGTGCCCAGTATCCTTTTTCCCTTGTGTTAAGAAACAGCACCACATTTTAGGAAGGTTCTGCACTTCCCTCGTCTCAAACTGTCCTGCAGATATTTGACCCAAACAAGGTCAATAAGATCTAATCACCTCAGAATGTCTATTATGGAAGGGAAGCCATTTGGAGCTGAGAGCTAGTAAACAAAGGGATGGGGAGAAAAGTAGCCATAAGCTCCCTCTCTAAAAATGCCTTCAAATGACAGATGTAGTGGCTGTCCATGAACTTCTATTATTTTGTCTCCAAAAACTGCCCTGGGTCATCTATCCTTCACCAAACATGTCGTTCAATTTTCCTTCAGTTCTTTGAGTTACCCATCCAATAAATTTCTTGCTTTAGATAGTCAGGCTCAATTTCTCCTACTTACAAAAAAAAACGATATAGTGCAGTGAAGGCCTGGGGAGGGGTGGGAGTGGGGAAGAGGGGTCAATGGGGAAAACACAGGGGACATCTGTAATGCTTTCAGCAATAAAGATAAATTTAAAAAAATTAAGTGCAACCATGTTTAGAGCAATAGAACAATAGAGACCCTTCTGAAATTACNCAACAGTAATAATAGTAATAATAAAACCCTTAACTGACACAGAAAACTACTGATTACCATTTGGCAGACAAGGCTAGAAATCAAATGTGGCTTTTGATTATTAAAATTGGTTGTCTACAAAAATAAAATTATTTAAAAAGATAAAATTAAGTTAGGAAACAAAGTGTACTGTGGAAGAAAATAGATATATTTGTTATTAGAAATTCTGAGTTTGACATAATTCCATAGCCTTTATTCTCTTCCCACCATCATATTACATCAACTCCATTCTCTTGGAGTTGGTTTTTATCCTCATGTGGAAATACTACTATTGTACATGTAGAAATGATCCTTCCATATTTCTCCTTCACATTTCCACACTTCTTTAGGTTTCCACACACAAAACCTAAACAAACAATACAAGAAAGCAAAACCAAAAATTGCTGCAACATTTTCAAGTTATCTAAGAAGCTCCACATTTTTAAATAAATTTTTTTATTTTTTAATTACAGTTGACATACAATATTATATTAGTTTCAGGAGAACAACCCAGTGATTAGAAAATTATATAACTTACGAAGTAATCACCCTGATAAATCTAGCACCCATTTGACACCATACATAGATATTACAATATTATTGACTATATTCCCTATGCTGTACTTTAGATCCCCCTGACTATTCTGTAACTACCAATTTGTACTTCTTAATTCCTTCACCTTTTTCACCCATCCTCCAAGCCCCCTCCCATCTGGCAACCGTCAAAATATTCTCTGTATCTATGAGTCTGTTTCTGTTTTGCTTCTTCATTTATTTTGTTTTTAGATTCCACATATAAGTGAAATGATCTGGCATTTGTCTATCTCTGTCTGATTTATTTCACTCAGCAGAATACCCTAATGCTAGATCCATGCTGTTTGTGCATATGGCAAGATTTCATTCTTTTCATGGCTGAGTCATATTCCATTGCATTTATGCACTACTTCTTTATCCATTCACCTATTCATGGACAATTAGGTTGCTTCCAATATTGGATATTGTAAATATAGCTGCAGTTAACAAATGGATGTATTTTTCTTTTCAATTTAGTGTTTTGAGTTTCTTCAGATAATACCCAGAAGTAGAATTGCTAGGTCTTTCCAAGTCTTTTGTTATAGCCTTTGTTTTAAAGTTTATTTTCTCTGGTATAAATATTGCTATCTCAGCTTTGTGTTTTTTTGTTGTTGTTTGTTTACATTTTCATGAAATATTTTTCCCATCCTTTTATTTTTAATCTAGATGTGTCTTCCAATCTGAAGTCTCTCATAGAAGCATACATAAGGTACAGACACCATATGTCTTTTGGCTGAAGCATTTAATCCATTTACATTTAAAGTGATTATTGGTAGGCATGTATTTATTGCCATTTTATTCTTTCTAACTATGGTCTTTTTTTCTTTCTTTTTCTTAAAGAAAACTTTAATATTTGTTGTCATACTGGTTTGGTGGTAAAGAACTCCTTTAGCTTTTATATAGTCTGGGAAACTCTCAATTTCACCTTCAATTTTTAATGATTGTCTTGCTGGGTAGAGTAGCCTTGACTGTAGGTACTTGCTTTTAATCACTTTGAATATTTTATGCCAATCTCTTTTGGTCTGAAATGTTTCTGCTGAGAAATCAGCTGACCGTCTTGTGGGAGATCCGATGGAGGTAACTGACTGTCTTTCTCTGCTGCTTTTAAGATTTTCTCTTTGAGCATCATCCCACAGACTGAAGGGCCCAGGGTTCAATTCTGGTCGAGGGCATGTACCTAAGTTGCAGGCTCGATCCCCAGCTCCAGTTGGGGTATGTGCATGAGGCAACCAACCGATATGTCTCTCTCTCTCTCTGTCTCTCTCTCTCTTTCTCTCTCTCTCTTCCACTCTCCCTGAAAAGCAATGGAAAAAATATCCTCAGGTGAGAATTTAAAAAAAAAAAAAGATTTTCTCTTTGTCTTTAACTTTTGCCATTTCAATTATGATGTGTCCTTGTGTGGTACTCTTTGGGTCCATCTTGTTCTGGATTCTCTGTATTTCTTGGACATGTGTGTCTTTTCTTTTTCCTTCAGCAGGTTAGGGAAGATTTCCATAATTATTTTTTTCAAGTAGGTTTTCAATTCCTTGCTCTTTCTCTTCTCCTTCTGGCACCCCCACAATGTAAGTGTTAGTACATTCGAAGTTGTCCCAGAAGTTCCTTAAACTATCCTCATTTTGGATTTTTTTTTCTGTTCTTACTTGGTGTTCTCTGCTTCAGGTACTCTACTATTGATTCCCTGTAATGTAGTCTTCATTTCAATTATTGCAGTCTTCATTTCTGACTGGTTCATTTATATATTTTATATCTCATATTTTATGGTTTCTATCTCTTTGTTGAGGTCCTCAGTAAGTTCCTTGAGCATCTTTATAACCAGAGTTTTGCACTCTGCCTCTGGTAGATTGCTTGTCTCCATTTTGTTTAGTTCTTTTTCTGGAGTTTTGTTCTCTGTGTTTTTCCCCATTTGGGACATGTTTCTTGATCAAGTCATTTTGGCTGCATCTCTGTGTTTGTTTCTATGTATTAGGTAAAGCTGCTACATCTCCTGGTATTGGTAGAATGGCCTAATGTAGGTGTTCTGTAGGGCCCAGTGGCACAGTCTCCCCATTCACCTTATCTGGGCACTCCAGTTGTATACCCTCCATCCTGTATGGGCTGTGTGAACCCTCCTGTTGTAGTTAAGCCTTGATTGTTGATGGCACATCAATGGGAGGGATCTATCCCCAGTCCAACTGGCTGCAAGGACTGGCCACAACTACCACTGAGAATCTGCTGTTCAGGGGCTGACCCCGCAGAGTAGAAATGACTTCAGCAAGGCTCTGGAGCCCACTAAATCTGTCCCTTAAGTGTGTCACTTATGGAGGTAATCGAGTGGTGCTTTGTTGAAGTCTGAAGCTCTCTACAAGGTGTGATGGCTTTGGGGCCTCCAGGGAGATGCAGGCAAGGTCAGCTACCACCTGTGCCCTATCCAGGGCGACCAGGCATGAGCTAAAAAGTGATCTGCATATGGTTGCTACCTCTGCTAGGCTTGTAGCAACAAAATGCCAACCTGAAAACCGAGGCCAGCTGCAGCTAGTGCCGAGCCTAGGACCACTTAGAAAGTAGTGAGGGCACCCAAAGGTAAAATACTACTTGAGAGAGTTTCGGAAAGTCTGCAACATGAGCCAAGACTGGCCATTTGTATGGAAAAGCAGCTTGGCTAGGACTATAAATTGGATTAGGCGGGATCTCAGGGAATCACCAGGGCAGGGCAAACAGTGTTAGCCAGCCTGCCTCCTAGCTCCATGTGGGGAGAACTTAGCAAAAGAAATATGGTCTCTGCTAGCACTTGTCTGGGAGAATGCTGCCCCTCCAGCACTTGATGGACAATTCAGTTCCTCCCCATATATTCCTGATGCCTTTCAAGTTGCTGTCCCGGGGCTGGAGCTTGGAGTGAGTCCAATGTGTGGGCCCTAAATTTAGGAGGAACACCTGGAACTCAAGCAGTTTCTGGGCTCATTCAGGCACAATCCCCACTGGTTTTCACAGCCAGAATTTATGGGGACTTCTCTTCCCAGAACTGGAACCCTGGGTTGGGGTCCTTGGTATGGGACTGGGATGCCTTACTCCTCAAGGAGGAATTCCAAGATATCCCTCCTGATTTTAAACCGATACACGTGGGTGTAGGAATAGCCCATTCCACATCACCCCTCCTACCAGTATCTATGTGGCTTCTTCTGTATACCCTTAGTTATAAGGATTTCTGTTCAGCTAGACTTCAGGCAGTTCTGAATGATGGTTGTTCTGTAGTGTAATTGTAATTTTGATGGGGTTGTGGGAGGAGGTACATGCATGCAGCATTTACCTACACAGCCATCTTGAACAGAAACCCACTTCAAAGGTGTTTCTTTAATATGGGCCTAAGGACGCGTGATTAAGTGTTGCAAAATTCTTACACTTGGCCAGACTACTCAATTATTTAATATAATAATATACTACTTTATTTTTATTTTATTTTTTAATTTTCTATTCCTAGTTGAAACTATACCGAAATGGAACTATTCCTAATCGGTTGTGTTTGACAGCTCTGATCTTATATTTAACACCTGTGTAGGATCACTGCTTCTCTAACTGATTAAGTAGCAAATCTCCTAGTACCACTTCTGCTTCCTCATATAGTAAGGAAAAATTATCTGGTAACCAACATTAGTGCATTCAAGAAAGAGTATTTTCCTTCATTTTATGTTGATTTTATGTTGAAACAATACATCTTATGGTTTTAAGTAGTTAATAAAAATTTGTTTCTAATCCATTTGACTCTGTCGTCTACATTTTGAAACTTATATGCTTTATAAAAATTGCAAAGAGGAAAAATTAGGAGAAAAATTTTATCCTAGATAGTTCTATTCACTCTACTTGGTATAGTGAACTGGGACACACATTATATAATTGCAAATTTAAAGTATATTTTAAAACCCTAATTTATTGGTATTTTAACAAATTAAATTTTTGGCATAGAAATGTCTTTCAGAATGTTTAAAATTTAGTCTGCTTTTCATAGCATCTTTTTTATTTTCATAGCTAGTATAATTTAAATACAGCATTGTTTTAGGTTGGTGTGGTTTTTTTTAATGTATCTTTATTGATTTCAGAGAGAGGAAAGGAGAGGGGGAGAGAGAGAGAGATAGAAACATCAATGATGAGAGAGTCATCGATCTGCCACCTCCTGCAAGCCCCTGACTGGGGATCAAGCCCACAACCCGGGCATATGCCCTGACTGGGAATCGAACCCTGATCTCCTGGATCCTAGGTTGACGCTCAACCGCTGAGCGACACCCAGCCGGGCACGTTTTAGGTTTTTAAAACACAGGTGTTACCAGTTATTAATATTGAAAATGTATAATAAAACACTTAAATATACTTTATTGCTATTTTATTATAATAAGGCTTTTTAGGTACTATATGCCATTTTCAGACACAAAATTTAACTAACCTCTGTATTCCTCAACTTTTGTAGTTCATGTTCCAGCGCCAATTTCTCCTCTGACAGCACTTGGAAATCATTTTGTATCTGTTTGTATTTCTAAAAACAAATATTATAATTTTAGTAACAATGAAAAGCAACATCTCAATATAGAGAACTTATTTGGGTACTTAATTATTAAAGTAAGAAAGTATTCATTAACTCATGAAAATAATGAACCATTGGTACTAATCTGTAAAGTGAAGTTGTAATTGAGGCAGAAAGAGGTAAAGGAACTAGAAGTGACAATGAATTTAAGTTTAGGACACTGAGAGATACTACAGTTCAATATTTCATAAGTGAAGTATTTCTGAGAGATAATAAGGTCCAGCAAAATCAAAAGAATAAACAAAGCTTTCCAGCTCACATATGCATAGAAATCTCTTGAATAAAATAGTAAGCATTGGATCTTTAAGATTATTTATTCTGACAATTTCTACAATTTATTAACTACAAAGGCAAAGTGCAATTTCAAACTGAGAGTGCTATACTTACAGTTTCTAACAAAGTTTTATCATTCTTAGTTCTGAAATAAATTAAAAATATACATAATATATTACAATTCTATTTATATTTTTTATGTGACAAACTTATACATATTCTTTGTAAAAAATTTTTTAAATATAACAAATAAGATTAGTGTACACTTTGACCACCATTCCAAACATTCAATGCTCTCCTTAGAGATAATATTAGATTGCTGTATATCTTTCCAGAACTTTTTCCATGAATTTATATAATACTGCATGTACCTATTAGATTCTATAATTTTTATTAGTGGGTTAGTTGTCTGTTGTATTTTTTCACATAAATGACATTGCTATATATATTGTTCTCAACTTATTTTTTTTTACTTAACACAATTTCTGAGATCTATTTATAGATAAACATAGATCTATCTCCCTTCTTTTAAATACTGCTTCTTTCTTTCTTTTTTTTAACTTAACAAGATTCATTATTTTTCACCCTCACCCAAGGATATGTTTATTGATTTTAGAGAGAGAGGAAAGGGGAAAGAGAGGAAAAAAACGGTATGAGAGAGATATATCAATAGGTTGCCTCTCATATGCACTCCGACCAGGAATCAAACCCTCAACCTTTTGGTGTACAGGACAATGCTCCAACCAACTGAACCACAGGCCAGGGCTCCAACAAGATTCATTTTTAATTTTTTTCTTCCTTTTTGTTAAATTTATTCAGGTGACATTGGTTAATAAGATTACATAGTTTTCAAGTGTTCATTTCTATGATACATAATCTTCTGCAGGCCATAACATCTCTATCACTACTACCTAACTCTGCAAATCTTCTTTAGGAAGATTACGTATCATGAAAAGTCAAATAATCTTCTGTCACCATATATTTTACCACTTTTACCCTTTACTACCCGCCACCACTGCATTCCCTCTGATAACCACCATACTGTTGTCTGTTTCTGTTAGCTTTTGTTGGTTTGATTTTCTTGTTTGTTCATTTGCTGCTTTCAGTTTTATATCCACATATGAGTATCTATCTGAAAAATTTGAAAAAATTTATTCACAAAGACATATGTACCCCCATTTCATTGCAGCATTACTCAGGGTGGCCAAGACATGGAAACAACCAAAGTATCCTTGAATAGATGATTGGATAAAGAAGATGTGGTATAGGTAAACACACAATACAATATGATGTATTATAGAATTATAATATTAATAATATATAGTTATACAATACAGATGATTTATTACAGAATTATATACCTGAAACCTATATAATTTTATAAACCAATGTCACTCCAATAAATTCAATTTAAAAATAATTAATTAATAGTGAGAGTGAAGCCCGGCCAGGCATGGTTAAGTGGTTGGGCATAGACTTAGGATCCAGGCTATCGGGGTTTGATTCCCGGTCAGGGCACGTGCCCTGGTTGCGGGCTCGATCCCTAGCAGGGGGCATTCGGGAGGCAGCCGATCAATGACTCATCATTGGTGTTTCTATCTCTCTCTCCCTCTCCTTTCCTCTCTCTGAAATCAATAAAGATAAAAAAAATAGTGAGAGTGAAAATAAAAGAGGTGGTACATATGTACAATGGACTACTACTCAGCCATAAGAAAAGATGAAATATTGCCATTTACAACAACCTGATGGACTTTGAGAATATCATGCTATGCCAAATGTCAGACACAACGTCTGATTTCACTCATATGTGGGATAAATACCACTTCTTAAAAGATAAAAATAAAAATAAATACCACTTCTTATTCCATAGCAGGGCTTGGCAAACTCTTTCTGTAAAGAGTCAAATAGTAAATAATTTAGATTCTGCAGGCCATAACATCTCTGTCACTCCTACCCAACTCTACAAAGGCAGCTACAGATGATAGGTAAATGAGTGGGTTTTACTATATTCCAATAAAACTTTATTTTCAAAAACAAGCTGGAAGCTAGATTTGACTCACAGGCGGCAGTTTGAAGACAACTATTCCATAATAAGGATAAACTATACATTTTTTTTTTTTACCAATAAGTTGCTTATCTATTATAATCAGAATTTTCAAAGCTTTATTAAGATAATTAACATACCATACAATTCACTCATTTTAAATGCACAATTCAATGGCTTTTAATACATTCACCAAGTTGATCAACTATTACTACTATCTAATTTTAGAACATTTTAATTACTCCAAAAAGAAACTCTATACCCATTTGCAGTCACAGCCCATTCCTCCTAGCGTTGCCTCAGTCCTGGCAGCCACTAATCTACCTTCTGTCTCTATAGATTTGCCTATTCTGGATATTTCATATAAATAGAATTATACAATATGTGGTCTTTTGAGGCTGGTTTCATACACTTAACATGTTTCCAAGGTTCATCCATGTTGTAGCATTTATTAGTACTTTGTTCCTTTTTATTGCCAAATAATATTCCATTCATGGATATACACATTTTATTTATCCATTCATCAGCTTATGGACATTTGGGCCACTTTTTGACTATTATAAATAATGCTATTATGAACATCCATGTACAAGTTTTTGTGTGAACATGTTTTCATTTCTCTCAGGTATAACTTAGGAATAGACTTACTGGGTCATATGTTAACTATATATTTAACATTTTGAAAAATGGAAAAACTATTTTTCATAGCAGAAGTACCACTTAAATTGCCACCAGCAGTGTATGAGGGCCCTAATTTCTGTACATCTTTTCCAACAACTGTTATTGTCTATCTTTATTATAGCTATCCTAGGGGGTGTGAAGTAATATCATTATAGTTTGGTTTGCAGTTCCCTAAGGAGTAATCATGTTGAGCATCTTTTCGTGTGCTTATTGACCATTTGCATATGCTATTTGGGAAAATGTCTACACCTAGCCAGGGCTAATTTGGCCATTTTAAAGTGGTGTTACTTATCTTTTTATTATTGAGGGGTAAGAGTCCTTTGTATATTCTGGATGAAAGTCTGGTATCAGATATATGATTTGTATATACTACAAGTTGTCTTTTCATGCTCTTCATGGTATCATTTGTAGCACAAAAGTTTTTAATTTTTATAAAGTTCAATTTTTCTATTTTTTCTTTTGTTGGTTGTGCTTTTGATGTCCTATTTAAGAAATCATTACCTAAATCAAGGTCACAAAGATTTACTTCTCTGTTTCTTCTAAGAGGCTTATAGTTTTAGCTTTTAAATTTAGGTCTTTGATAATTTTGAGTTAATTTTAGTGCATGGCATGAAAAAAAGATCAAACTTCATTCTTTTGCATATGAATATCCAGTTATCCAATACCAGTTTTTAAAAATATTATTCTTTCTCAATGAATTGTCTTGGCCTCCCTGTTGAAAATAAATTGGCAATAGGTGTAAGGGTTTATTTCTGAACATTCGGTTTATACCATTCATTTATAAAGGTTTATCTTTATGCTAGTACCACACTGTCTTCATTACTATAGCTTTGTATTAAGTTTAAAATCAAATAAGTATGACTCCTCCAACTTTGTTCTTCTTAAGATTTCTTTGGTCATTCTGGGTCTCTTGTGTTTCCACATGAATTTTAGGATCAGCTTGTCAAGTCATGCAAGAAAGGGGATTTTGATAGGGATTTCATTGAATCTGTAGAACAATTTGGAGAGTTTTGCCATTTTAAAATTATTAAGTCTATGCCCTGGCTGGATGGCTCAGTTGGTTGGAGCATCATCCAATATACCAAAAGGTTGTGGGTCCACTTCCAGGTCAGGGGACATACCTAGGTTCTAAGTTTTAGTCACAGTTGGGGCACATATGGGAGGCAACCAAACAATGTTTCTCTCTCACATCAACGTGTCTCTCTCCAAATTTTTCTCTGTCTCTTAAAAATCAATAATTCCAAGATATGGCAGACTTAAGTGGAAGCTACACTAACACTCTCTCAGGGCCAAGCTGGAATTACAACTAAAATAGAAAAAAGCCATCCTGAAAAATCAGCTGAAGACTACCTGGAGAGGACTCTCATAATCAAGGACCTAAAGTAGAGACCACACAGAGACTGGTAGGAAGTAAGGAGGTACGAGAGGGCTGGCCTGGCTCCCAGAGGCAGCAGTTGAAGGTCAAGATGGATATCTCCTCTGTGGGGGGTATTCACTGAGAGCTATGAGATCTAAACCCAAAGCTGGGCTCACCAGCCCAGAGCACCAAAAATGAGAAAGGTGCCCACATAACATCTGGCTGTGAAAAACAACAGGGTTTCTGTCTGCCAAGGAGAGGTGGCTGAAATGCAGGCACCTTCTTAAAGGACTAATGCACAAAATTGTGTATGCAGTCATTCACCTTGGGCTCTGGTGGATGGAGGGTAGAGCAGACAAGAGTGGTATGAGGAAAATCCAGAGATGCTGGCTCTGGGGAAAGAGATCAGAGGGTGGCAATCTGGATTCCTGAGTTGACCCTTTGCAGAAAGGGTCAGTACTGCAGAGGACATCTTTCTCAGGCAGACCTTTACCGTCCTGGCAGGTTTTGTCTGGGGGGGGGGAGCAATTACCCCACCCTGTTGGAATACCTCTCATCCCACCCTGTGGAATTTACACTTTGTGGTCTACAGCCTGAGGCTTATTAAGAGATAAAAATCAGCCTACAGACAAAGGCAGATCACTGAGTGCTTTATGCCTTTGCCTGACCTGCCTCTGTACATGGGACTTGGAAAAACAGACCTTGGTGCACATCTTGGTCCTTTCCCAACACAGAGGGAGTCACAAGCTGTGGATCATTGAAAGTGTGAAACTCAAGGCCAGTCAAAAACTGTGTATAACTGCCGTGAACCATAGACCATTCCAAAAGAATGGGAGTCCAAGCAGATTTACCTAATACATACAAACAAACCAAAAGAGGCAGCCAAAATGAGGAGACAAAAAAAACAAAAACAAAAACAAAGAAAAAACAAAAAAAATGAGGCCCAAATGAAAGAAAAATAGAATTCTCCAGAAGAAGAGCTAAATGAAATAAAGATAAGCAGTCTATCAGATATAGAGTTCAGAATACTGATTGTAAGGATGCTCAACAGCATGAGAAAAGA